TTGATAACCTGCAGGGTATCATCCTGCAGAGCCTTATGAAGGTAAAGATCATCTACAGGGGTGGGTGCGTCGAGAATCTGTCGTCATTGTTCATCTGGTACTGCCAAGGACTGGAGGAGCTGATCACACTCAGTGATGGAGATCAAGAAGCAGCGGAGAACGAAGACGAACAAGCTGCAGGGACTTGCAAAGTGATCACGCCCTTCCCTAAACTTAAGGAACTGTATCTCCAAGGCCTACCAAAGTTAAGGGCGCTGAGCAGTAGCGCATGCATGCTGCGGTTCCCATCACTGAAGAGACTCAAGATCGTCGATTGTCTAAGCCTCAAGAGGCTTAAACTCGTTGCCGCGGAACTAAAGGTGATACAATGCGCGAGGGACTGGTTCGATGGGTTGGAGTGGGATGATGATGAGGTGAAAGCATCTTACGAGCCACTGTTGGATGAAAGATATGATTGAATTCAGTTTTTGTGCATTATGTTGGCCCAAAATTTCAGAGATACATTTTCCATCGCTTATGCCGGGCTTTGCGTCTGGCATTCGACGGGCCTATCTCTGCGTTTCAAAGAAAATAAAAACAGTGTTTACTCCACCCCTTTTTAAATTTTTCAAAAAAGATGCTTGGTGTTGATCAGTCACTGAATTCAGGGATTGATATGCCCTTCAGATGTGTCATCGTTCTTCTGAGAGATTATGCTTTTGTTTTTGTGTGGACTGGACAATGCACATTTGATGAATGGACCGTATGAATGTCTGCCGGTACCAACCGAGTGTTGATCCAAATCTGAAATCTGTATGCAGCACGGCTGATGGCTGATGCAGCTAATCCATTCCTTCTTTCCCTGCGTGCTCTGCCTGTCTGCTGCAAATTGCAATCGGCAATCCCTAAAAAACTAACGGTGATAGATGTATCCTCATCACAGATTTTAGACTTGGCTAAAGATGAAAGGAAAACCTAGTTGCAAGCTGTGATAACAGGCGCCGATGTACGTACCTCGAGTTGCTGGGATCTAGAGTTCCTGATCCCAGCGTTGCTGCCAACAGCGAATCTGTAGGACTTCACGCTTTGGGACTAGGGATTTGGCCATCTGGGAGGTGGCGACCGGGGCGACCCTGCGAGTCGGCGGCGTTCAGGAACGGGGAGGACCGAGGGTAGCGCCTACCGCCAACTGGACGCACTTCCTCTGGGCCCACACGTCAGTGACCAAAGTCAGGTCTGACGCGGGGATCCAACTGGGCACTGGGCCGGTCCAAGGTTGTGCGCATAGTTAAAAAAAAAGAGGGAGTAAAAATTATACTATGGGCTTTTGAAATACTAAACCATGTCTCAGATCTAATTGATCGAATTGATGTAAATTAACCAAACCATAACCACATGGTGTATGTGGTAAACAATCTCAAAACAAACAATGTCAAGAAAAAAAATAGCAATGGAGATGTTTTCTTCGCCGGTATGCTTTTTTACATGATGTCTTGGGATCTCAACCACCTCACCAAAACCTCTCTTTCGATGCAATGAGTAAGTAAAAATAAAATGGGAATCCTTAACGGAATGGTTTCAATGCAGATGAAGTTATTAACAAGGAAGGAAGGGGGAGCAGCGGTGAACTGATTGTCCAATTGGCTGAAAATGGTAGTAATGATAATTTGATAATGAGCATCAGAAGCTAGTGCCACCAAAGGCACTAGAATAGTGTGTGTACGACCTTGTGTGTCTCAAAGTCGATGACATCACACCGCAACTCTGGGCTCATCATGTCCCCTTTGACCTCACATATGTTGTGCAACACACAACATGCACCGACACTGGCGGAGCTACTTGTATTGCTGCAGGGGCCATGGCCTCCCCAGCCTATGGATTTTTTGTGAAGAAACTCATTTTTGGGTGCTACAAATTGAGAGAAATACAGTTTTTGGCCCCTCCTGAAAATTATATTTCACCATTTGCCCCCTCAACCATTCCTCGCTAGCTCCGCCACTGTGCACCGATCACGATAGAGACGTGTGATATAGCACCGATCACGATAGAGACGTGTGATATATTCACATCTATGCGCTTTTGCAAAATGCCCATCGCCCCCTGAGCCTTGCGAAGGCATCCACGGCCACACGATGAACCTTCATGACCTTCTTGCTGAAAGAATGTTGTTCCCTTGTTAAGTTTGGTGTGGGTATGGGACGAGAAGCCCCTCCATTAGTGGGTAGCTAGAGCCACCGACCATCCAGGAACTAGGCATCACCTGAGGTCTTCCACACTGTTGTAGACCCGAAATATAGAGGATCTCATCGTCACGCAGGGCCCCAGGGCAACCAATGCATACATCGGTGAAAGTGCCGAATGGGTTGACAACTCCTTGGATGGTGGTTGAGAGGTAGGTGATATTGTTGTAATTGCAAGGACCCCAACCGAGGTAATCACTGGCCCACAATATCGGTTGGATGATCTGGACATGGGTGGTATAGATGGCACCAACAATGTGTGGGATACCAGAGATGGCCTTAAAGTTGTCCTCCAAGGTGACGGTTTGGTCAGGCCACTGAATAAAACGGGGCATAATTATGTGCCAGACACTATACTCCTACCTCATGTTCGATCTGAAGGGCTATTTAGTGAGTGCTTGCAGGGGGTGCTACTTGTGGCGTCCTCAATGTATGCTAGCTAGGACTAAAACACATAGAGAATTGTCAAGTGAGTGATGGTATATTATCAAAGAGCGACATGGACATGCTGAATCAACAAACAAGTGTCTAACTAAGGGCTTCCAGGGCCGCACGTAGTCGTTCCCGAGTAGATACCAGAAGGGGAGTTCTTTGCTAATCATACATGGTTAGACCGTAATGTGTCCCCGTAGGTTGGCTACATCGATACAGGCATCATCGACCTATATAAAGGTCTCAATGACTCTCGCCAAAATATCATATTGTATCCCCATAAGTTGGTACATTGATACTGGCATCATCGACCTATATAAAGGTCTCAATGACTCTCGCCAAGAGACCATACATAGCGGGAATCCATACTCCCATAACCTAGTTTTCCATGTCCAATATATTCATTGCAATGTCTTCCACATTCATCAGTATAGATCTACAAGGAGGTAAAACTGAGTAAAACCACCCATTAAGGTAATTCAGCAGATACCATGGTAGTCACACTTAGGTAGTGTGTAATCTCAAGTCATCGGATGAACATGAGATACAAGTTGTACCTATAATTCGGGCCCCCCTTGATGGAGGTAATATCAATACTAAAGGATCAAGATGATTGACTAGAGGGTACTGACGGAGGTAATATCAATATTGCTGAATAGAAGACTGGTGGTGCACTAAACAGAAGCGGATCCCCAAGGCAGAAAGGAAAGGCTTGGTCTCCATGGTTACTCTAGTATGTTGGATGTTATGGAACCAATGTAATGGGTGTATTTTTTGGTAAAGCTATAATTCGGACATCGCATGATCTTGCTTCTCACATTTTTATGAACTTCGTATGTGGGTTAGTGTTGGAGCTACAGGAGTCCAGCAATTTTGTGAGTAGTCGCGGCAGGTGTTAGAAGAAGTTGGAGAGCCGTTGCATGCCAATTCATGGCGGTGTAATTTCCGTTTTCGCTTGTCTTGTAAATAATTTGCTGCCTTCTACAAAGCTATGTTATGAGATTGCGTACTCTTGAAAAGAAATTTTCAAGGAGGATTCCCGGGAGTGGACACCTCACGACGGCATTGATGAGTCCCTTTTGTGGTGACGTCCTTTTCCTTGTGGGTGGGCCTTGTGGCCGGCTACTATCAGAGTGTGAGGAGGTTAATTTCCTGCAAAAAAAATGTTCTACTGTGTTCTAAGGGTCTTCACCTGTAAAATTGTTGTTGTTGTCGGAAATCCAATTTGGTTCCCGAGAGCACGTGCTCCTGGGTGCGGGAAATAATTTTTGAAATGTCAAAAAAATTTCCAACAATTTCTTTTTATGTATTTATAGTCACATCCAAATGCTACCTGCGAAGTTTTAGGTAAAAAGGTTAAACATTTTAGCATGTGCAAAATTAACAAATTTGAACACCAAATGTTACCCAAAATGTCACCCCAAATTTGTTTTTTTTTACCGACGAAACACTACTACTTGGTTTCGCATGAACATTGTCAAGCATGCTTTTTTTAAGTGAAACCGTAGTACAATCGTTCTACGACAAATATATTAATAAAAAGGTACACATACATGCGAAAGAAAGCAAAAAAGGCTAATCTATTTACATGGCAAAAGCCTATCCAATGCCTGCTCTAGGAAATCCCATGATGTTCATGAGGCTTTATAGATGCTGGTCAAACCGGTTACGAAGCTGGTCTTGAAACTTGCTGTTGATTCTGTGCTAGAGCAATATCAGATCAGCCTTGAGTAGACATCTCCAAGAAGCTCAGATGGAGTTTGAGCTCTGAAGATTTTACCATTTCGTTGCATCAATAAGTGCCAGCATCCCATGATGGTTATCTCAAGAGCAATTGGGCCATACATAGTTTGAATTATCAAATTTATCTCATCATGAACTGAAAATCCCTCTATGTTTAGGTCCCAGGATGGAATCCCAGCAATTAAGAGCACAAGGGCAGTCCCAAAACAGGTGAAGGGTCGTTTCTTCGGTGTTGTCTTGGCACAACTCACATTTGAATAATGGTAAATAGGAAGATCTATGTGCAGAATATTTCTTGTACTGGCTCTGTCATGAAGGAGCCAAAAGAAAATCTTACGACACTAACACGAATATCCACAAAAAAATCAGAATTTTTTTGAAAACATTTTAACATTTTTTTTGCGGTATTGTTCATCCAGGAGCAAATGCTGAAAACAACAGCTACAAAATATCAAGCATGAAATGCAACATCCAATCAGATCAACTTAACCACCCGAGGTTTTATGCCTGTGCTACCACAAGATTATAGGTAACACGAGTGACACTGATAAATCATTTTTATTTAGGATGCCGTGGTGATCGAACGGCCAATCGACAGAACTGCCATTAAAGATTTGATGAAGAGTAAACAAACATCAAACGAAGGGCCAGTAACCACGGATCAGAGCCCATCGTCGTACGCCACACCCGTGCCCTTGAGCCAGTAGCCGCCCTGGATGAACTGCCCCACGGTGAACTGCACGGCCACGCTCTGGTCCGTGATGACGCGGTACCCCGGCCACTTGACGCGCCCGGCCGTGCCGGCCCCGGGCCCCTCGTTCGCGTACTCCCCGTAGAAGAGCCTGTTGAGCGCGAAGTCCCCGTTCCACTCCAGCCACCCCCTCGGGTGGATGTGCGCGCCCAGGTACGCTGCATGTACACCGTGCGCGAGTACACCTTCCACGGCCGGCCGAGGAACGTCGGGAACGCCTCGGCCACGGGCGCCAGGTCGTCCGCCGGCACGACGCGGCACCGATGCAGGGACGTGCCCGTGTTCTGGTTCGGGTCCGTCCTGCCCTGCGCGGTGACCGCGTTCTTCTGGCCGCGCGCGGGCCGGCGCGTGGTGATCACGCAGTTCTGGAGCACGGCCGCCGCGTTGCCGAAGACGAAGTCGACGGTGCCGGAGACGAAGCAGTCGCGGTAGAACTGCCGCAGCTGGTGCGCGTAGAGGGTGTCCTGGTAGCCGTCGACGCGGCAGCGGTTGATGACGGCGCGGTCGGCGCTCACGCGCAGGGCCACCGCCTGGTGCTTCTCGGGCCCCGCCGTGTTCTCGATCCTGAGGTCCTGTAGGATGACCCCGTCGGCCGCCACGGCTGCAACATTCCAGTTCGACACACACAACCGTTAATCCTTGACGACTGTCCGCTTAATTCAGGACGCCATTAGCGGCCGTGCATACTGTTGTATACATGCGAGCCATCCATGGGTTCGACCGTGCAAGGCGATCACATGCTTGCTTTCAACCAAAGAGTGGAGCGTCCGTAACGACCTTTCAGTACGTATACTTGTAGTACATACGTACGTACGTACACGTGCAAAATTAATTGTGCGCCTTATGCCTGCGATGCATCACCGTCGCGCTTAGGAGAGCTGGCTAGGTGGTGGCGGAAATAAAAGCTAGGGCTTTTGATAACTAGTTGTAGAAAATGCTCGATATGTGCTATATTTTCTGTTTCTTCCATCATTGTGTCCGTGATCATTGTCGATTCTTTTCGGGTAATAACCGGTACTAATCGCAAATGTATGGCGCACCTAGCACGTAGCACCGGTAGCTTCATTCTTTATTGTTACTCTATCTCGCAAGAACAGGTACCAAACTTGTCCTACTAAATTTAGGTGACTGGTTTATGGCCATCAATCACTGCATTCACTGACCACTCTTCACTGACATAAGCGTACGCACACCGCACATCTTGTATGCATGTTCTTCGCCAAACAGATTGGTTTTGTGATGCGAAAGATCGTCTCTATTGCACTAGCTAGAATGTGGCAATGCAAAAGCCGAAAGGCAGCATGGTTTAAGGCTTTGATGCGGTCCTTCATCATGATAGAAAGAAAGAAGAAACTACTAGTAAAGTTTATCGAACATACTAAAGGTGCAATCGCGGTCATAGTCTCATAGATGGGAAATTAGTGCGAATCTCGGAAAGACGCAAAGTTAAGAGAGAACAAGAAAAAGAGAGAAGAAGAAGCATCCTTACCTAGAGTGGCCGAGTTGAAAGTGGTGGCGCCGTCGACCACGTTGCGGCTGCCGGTGATCACCGTCGCGTCCATGCCGTCCCCGACGATCATCAGCTCGCGCTTCTTCTTCCACACCGCCAGGTTCTCCTTGTACACCCCCTTCTTCACGTAGATGACGTACCGGCGCTTGCCGCGGTCCGGGGCCGCGTCCACCGCCGCCTGCACCGTATTGTACTTGCCACTCCCGTCCTTGGCCACCACCACGTCCGCCTGAACGGCGCCGGATCCTTCTAGGAGCGCACGGTCTGCACTCGGCACCCACGATGGAAGCTCGTCTGCTGCTGCCTCGGCGAGCACGTCCCGAGCGATGTCGTCGGCGGCCGTGCAAGAGCCGACGGCGTTGAGCACGGCGAGCGACGCGCTCGCGAGGGACATGAGTGGCTCCAGCTGCGCCCCCACGGCGTCGCGCGGTGGCCCGTTGTTGAGGCCGTCCAGGCACGTCACGTGGTCGGTGAGCATCGCGCTGAGCCACGTACGCGCGTCCTCGGGCGTCGCCGTGGTGTGGTCCGCCGCGTCGGCGAGACGGTCGCGCGCGAGCTCCATCAGCTGGACACAGTCGGCGAGCGCCGCGCGCTGCCTCGGGTCGCTGGCGCGCCCGTGCATGCCGGCCACCGCAGCGGCGGCCGCGTCATGCTGGTGGAGGGACCTGGCGAGTATTGCGCGAAGCACTCGCGCCGGCCGGCTCGGGTGAGCGCCCGGAGACGTCAGGACGGCGTCAGCGACGATGGCGTGGCACGAGGCCGGGTCCGGGGAGTTTGTGCAGAGGTGCACCCTGGCAGGATTGAGGAGTAGGAAGGCGGCGAAGCAAAAGCAAAGCAGAGTGGCTAGGAAGGTCGGTGTGCCCAAGCGAACTTTGCTAGGGGAGCAGTTTCTTTGTGACGGAGAAGAGAGAAGGGGCTCGTTGATCGGATCCATGGCAATTGTTGTGTAACCGATTAGAACTTGGAAATGCACTTGTCGAGTTTGTGTTAGTGGGTTATATAGGCGAGTGCATGATCTGGCCAGCCTAGGAGCTCTACTGCTTTCATGAATTTGCTCTGCGCAAGAGCTGTGGGATGTACTCGGTACAAAACTCGCTTTTCAGCCAGAAGTGTGGTTTAGTTTGTGCGAGGAGCCCTCTACACTCAGCAGTCTGCAGCGCATGGTTCACTGTGCACTGTTCAATGCCCGGAAAGGGCCAGATTCCAACCATGAATGGCTTATAGAAGCCCATGGGGAAAAGCAAAGTTCATTTTCCCCACAAACATTCACCTGTATGCAGCATAAGAGCCAACGCTCGCAGCAACAGAAAAACACTTGCACTATGAACGATACATTCGCCGTAGGCATCCAATGCCTTTGCAACATATCGTCCATGTGTTTGCATGAAATACCACTTGAGTTCACAACACGTCAGAATAACGTATGGACTTATTTTTTTACAAAATCACAACCACACGCTGTCGTGCTCGCCTCAACATGCCACGATAAATGGAAAAGTGACTTCCTTCCTATTATGCTACTAATATATAATTATTATTTTATAACTAAACAATAATTAAATACAATAAATAATGTGTTTTCAATTTTAGTTCCTATAGTATTAGTGTGAATATTAATGTTTCATACAACCAGATTTTATTGAATTATATTGCAACCAATTCACGTAGAAAAGCGCAAGCTATCATCTAGTATATTACTCCCTCGTTCCAAAATACTTGTCATGGTTCTAGTTCACATTTGAAATAAAATAAACTAAAACCGCGAAGTATTTTGGAACAGAGGGAATACTAAATAGGTGATCCTCAATTTCTCTCAACATGCACCTATCCACAGGAAAAGACCCACCTCAACATGTTAACCGTGAGAAAAAGGGCCCGTCCAACATGCAACCATGCATGTGAATATATTCAACAAATAATTTACAACTATAAACACAATTATATTACATGAGGCACATCCCACTTAGCGTCTGAGTTGTCCATCACGATCCAACGACCTAGGAAGAACATTTTTAGATTTGCACGAAAATTGAGTTTCCATCTGATACATTGCTACTATAGAATACTCATATACAAAATAAATGTCATATGTATTTTCTGTTTTTTCTTAAAATTATTAATCCAATATTAATGTTCCATACAACAAAATTTTATTGAACTATATTACAACCAATTCTTGTAGCAACGCCAACTGATATATCATTTGGTATGAATTAATTTGTGGTCCACGAGCTAGTTCATGGTGAACTAGTGGGTGATGTGGCACATAATCCATATTGCACTAGGCCAGTTATCCCTACGTCAAAGTGGGGTTTTGCTTGCCGGCTTGCTTCATTGACTTGTTTTATTCCTCTGTCAACTTTGAGATGTTGACACTAGTTGCTTGGACTTTTATTACCTTAGCTTGACCGCATATATAATGACTAGACCTAGATAGGACCGTGGGTAAGATTAGTTTTACTATCTCAGATTCAAATTATTTGAAGTTCTAAGATTGTTAAAGGTAAAACTTCTTTAAATTTGACCAAGTCTATAAAAAAGCCAACATCTACAACACTAATTAGTTCAATAGATTCGCCATTTGATAAAATGTTTTTTCCAGTTTTAAAAAACTAAATTCAAAAATATTTATTAAAAAATGTGATCAGTTTTTGAAGTCGCAAATATTTTACCAATTGGGAAATATTATATTAAATTCGTGATTTTTTAATTCATGAACATTCTATCAAATTCAGGAATTATTATTAACATTTTTAAATCCCTAATTGTTTGAGAAAAATAAAAAGTATTTTAATGTAACACTTCAAAATAAAAAAACATGTGAAAAAATCATTCAAAAATCCCATCATCGCACTATGGGCCGACCCTTTTCGCATTCACGCAGGGAGGGAGCGCGTGATTGCGACTAGAGGTCATAATCACTTAATCAGCACCTTGAACGCTAGTTGGCCAAGCGAGGCTCACACGCAAGCGTAGCAAGCCGCGGCATAACTTGGCGCATCGCTTGGCTTGACACGCTCGCTCTCCTTGCTTATGATCTATCTGCTGATTTTAAGAAAAAAGCGGACACTCCGGATTTTTCTATACTAAATAAATTCGTCAATTCTTTTTTTTTGCAGATTTAAAGAAAGCTAAATAATTATTCATAAATTTGTTTTTTTTGGAAATTGGAATTTTTTTCAATATTTTGGATTTTTTTTGTGGATTGGTAAAAGTTCACGTGTTCAAAAAATGTTCACACATTTGAAAAAGTTCATGGATTAGAAAAACATTCATGAATTTGAAATAAGTTCATGTATTTTTAAAAAGTTCATCAATTTGAAGGAAGCTCACAAAATTTGAAATAATTTCATAAATTTCTAAAAAAAATGTCGATTTTTAAAAAAGTTCAGGAAATTAAAGAAAAAACTCATTTGAAAAAGTTCAGAAATTTGAATGAAAAACGTTTCTCATTTGAAAAAGTACAAGAATTTAAGAGAACAAAAATTAAAAAAGGGGAAAAGAAGTAACTAAAAAGTAAAAAATAAAAACTGGAAAGAAAACCGAAAGAAAAAACAGTTAAAGGGAAGAAAACTACACTGGGAAGGAGCTTCCAAAATTGTAATGCACCAGCGCTCTCGAAACATGCAGGGGTGCTACATACAGCTGATGCGGAATATTGACTGGTGCTTAATGTGTTAAATATGAAATGGTGATTGTTCCTTACCTAGCGCACTATGCGTGTTATAGGACCTCTTGCCTAACTCACTCTCTTCATGCATGAATAAGCCAAGTGGGTCTTTGATGTCAAAACAAAAGAAGCCAGGTGGGTCTTTTAGATTTATTCTACAAATTATCAGAATATTTATTGGGCTTGATTCATATAAATGAAACACAATGGACTCAATTTCTTTTTATACCTCTTCTGGCCTCTGGATCCATGTGTAGTGCCATTTTCTGCGAGGTGCCCTGTATTGGCATAACCACAAGCACACTCTACACAACAGAGAATCTAGAATACAACCTCTGTAACTACTAAAACATCTTACATTAAGTTAGATAGGGAGTACAAACATTATTTTCATAAAAAAATGCAGGGGCAGTAATCTGATTGCACATGAAAATTTGCCCAAGTTTAGCGCAGTCATTTTCTTCTGACAAGGGAGTGGAAAGTTGCAAAATTCAGTTCCACGTACACCACGGCCACCACCAACTTTATTATTCAGGATGCTGCTACATGAACGTAATGTAAAGAAAAGAATGAGAGCGAAAAAGCGAGGGCGTCCATCCACGGGGCCAAAGCATCCGAGCATCCACATCCTTTCGGCAACCCCACGCGACCCTGCTCTGCTAGTCTGCTATCCGTAGTTGAGCCGGAATATGTCATTCTGCACGAAGAAGCTTCCCTGCTCGTTGGGGACCAGCTGAAACATCTGCGAAAACACAGACCAGATCATCATCAAACCCCCATTTCAGAACGCAAAAGGACGTGTGAGTGAGATGGGTTTCTTAATTACCTGGCTGAACCTGAGCTGGTGCTCCTCGCCGGCGAGCTGGAGGTTGCCACTGACGAACACGAGGATGCCGCCGGGGAAGGAGGGCGTGGGCTGGCAGTCGATGGTGCAGATGGAGTGCCGGCATTGCTCGAAGGGCAGCTGCGCCAGCTTCAGGCCGATCTCCGCGGCGCCGGCGACGCGGTGGCCCTCGAAGGAGAGGACGGAGGTGCCGCCGTAGAGCGTGGCTAGCGCGCCGCGGTTGGCGTCGAACGTCTGGTAGTAGTACTCCACGAAGGCCCTGCCCACCACGTCGCACTCGCTCCCCGCTCCCCCGCCGCCGCTGCCGCCCTCCTTCCCCTGCCCGTCCATGCGCTCCGCGTAGCTACTCGCTGGCGTGGCTCGGCCTCTCGTGCTCTGGACTGCCGCAGCTGCAATGGGGCACGAGCACTCCGTGCCGCTATTTGTAGGCGCGGCGCCGTATGGGGTGAACCATTTTGTGCAGTCGGAATGAAAACTCCTGCTTAGCTTTGCCTTTATCCGGATCGCGTAGATCGCACGCCCACTCCCAGTGCGTGGAGGCCATGTCGTTAACTCAATGTCGCACGCCCACTCACACAAGGAATCAGCTTTGTGTGTTAACTGTTTTCCCCTTTCTCTAGACTAGATAGCTTAACCTTTTTTTCAGTCGAGTCTATGCCATGGTTGCAAGAAAAGTACCGATTCCCAATAGTCCATGAATTTTCCCAGTCACTCGGTCAGGTTGAGCTCGAGAAGACATATGGTTATGGTATATAAACCTCAACCGCTAGCTGGATTTACCCGGCCGGTGCTTGCTTTCGGTGAGTGAAATGTGACCTTATGTCATCCTTGCGTGGCCGCAGACACTTTCGGCGACCGAACCAAGTGGGATAGCACATGTGAGTTTTTTTTTTGTAGGGAATGCACATGTGCACCTAAAGTTGTGTTCATAGTAACTGAAAACTGGGTCGGATTCCTTTCGGTCAAAACGAACTTACCTTTCTATGGGCATGCCAAGCGCGAGCAGCCCAAATCCCCGTCAATGCGTGAGTGTAAAAAATGTTTCGCGAATATCATAAATTGTTCACGAATTCAAACACAGGGATCGAAAAATAAATCAGTTATCCCGCGCAAATAATAGGGAGCTCCTCGATAGTTACTACAAGTCCGTTAAGCTTGCTGGACGTTTTAGCATGGAGGGGATAATCAAAGGCAAGATGAATGTTTCAGACCTCTCAGGCCAGGGTCAGCAGCAAAAAGCAAATACTCCGTTGCTCAATGGCCGGCACCACTACGGGGTACCGTCGCCTTGTCCGTCGATGGGTCCTTTGGGGAGTCGGATGGCACCGCGGCAGCATGTATGGTTCTCCGAGATGAAACAGGTGCAATTTTGTTTGCAGCCTACCATTACATATTCAACTGTAATGATGCATTGGAAGCAGAGATTCATGTCCTCATGCAAGGTATGGCTTTGGCTATACAACACACATCGCTTCCGGTGGTAGTTCAGTCAGACTCGGCTGAAGCTCTGTCTTCATTACCAAGTAATAGCCTCATTAGATCAGTGTATAGTCAGTTAGTCCTTGAGATTAAGGAGCTTATGAGTGTTAGGGAGTTTTTACCTCAGGCCAATTATAGCCGCTTTGATAGAACCATGCATGTGTGGATAAACTCGGTTCACCTTGTATTGAGGAGTTGTGGCCTCTTAATTGTAACACTGCCACAATGCAATAAAAATTTTCTTTACCCCGATTTTTTTTTACTATGCATCGCTCCTTGCGAGTGATACGATAGCAATTACTCACGCGAGGTACGACCTGGGCCGAGGGCAGGTAAGCAACGAGGTGGGATGGTTTCCACCGGTTTTGGAGGCTTCCATCATTCGGTTTTGGCAAGCTTCTAGCTGTTTTTTCCTTTCACTATTTCCTTGTTGGTTTCCTGTTCGGTTTTTATTTTCTGTTGGTTTTTTCTATTTTTTATTTGTTGGTTTTTTGAAATTCATGGACGTATTTCAAAATTTTAACTTTTTTTTTCAAATTTCTGGTTTTTAAATTCACAGATATTTTGTAAATTCATGAACAATTGTGAACCGGTACATTTTTTGATTTCACGAACAATTTTTGAAATTCACTAATTTTATTTTACTTTCAGACACAACTTTTGATATTGCTGAATATTTATTGAATTAATTGTCATTTTTGAATTCATGAACATTTTTTAAATTCATGAAATTTTACTTAATTCATGCTCTTAAAATACGTTGTTGTTGGACATCACTAGGAGGTCGTCATGCGGGCCAGAAGAGCGCCTGGGTGGAGGTCCCCAAGCCTCCACGTGGTTGACCGACGAAGTCAAACCCCTGGCCGCGTCACATGCACACGTCAGGCACCCTTCACTCCGTCACCTCTCTGTCCCCATGGCTCTGTATGACCCTAAAAACTATAGTCATATTTATTGAGGAATTTTTACGCCACTGCATGTACGCACTCTGACGCGATCCAATTTGGAGACCTTTTTTGTTACTCCCATGAAGAGCGAAAATTGCTGCTGGAGCTATCTTCATCAACCTTGCAGCTGTGTGGGTTCTTAAACCCTAGTCATACTATGTGAAAAGCATATTGAATTGCTACTTTTGTTGGTTGTTAAGCCTATTGTTGTTAACAAGCTTTTTCATTTTGATATATGTGGGTTTACTAGTGTGATTATTCTGCATGAAGCTATTACTGATAGTACGTCATTTCTTATAACACGGTGACAATGGAGAGACTATAGTTTACCATCAAGGTTTGCTTGACCCTTTGGCTCATAGCACATTACTGTGCAATCGCATATGACTTAAATATATTTTACTTCCTGTAAGTTGTCCTTATGTTAGATATTTAGACCCATACTCCGACCCATTTTTCATATGGGGCAATGAGATGTTCAAAGAAATGTTTGAAACAAAACCCAGAAAGATTGCTAGGATAAATAGACTAGCCACGAAAAACAACAAACTTTTTGTTTGCACAACGAAGAAGACAACAATCAACTATAAGATGGCACTAATTTGCTTACCTTGTTTTCTTTTCCTATGTACATATTTCTAATGTTTGAAAAACAAAATTTGTATATTTTCCATTCTCAGTGCTTTCCAATACAGTTCACTGATGATTACTTCGCAAATCACATGTATGATCATGAGACAGGGAAGATATCCATACAACACCCATTTATAATGTCGCGGTCTTCCTCAAGAGGGTGAAGAGCGGACAATCGATCCTTCACAGGCTTGGGACTTGAGTCGTGCACTCGTGCTGACCTTCAACATCCAGCAAGACACGGTATGGGCCTTCCGCTTCTACAACTTGCAAAATGAGCTTCGTTTGTATGTTCACAGTCTATGATGCGACATTTGGAAGGTTCTAGATTCCGAATGTGAAGTGACACTTGTTTAGTTTGGTGCTTGTATATCTTGGTACTAGTTCATATGGTGCTACTGTGATGCTAATTATGTAATGATGGTTGAACATATGTTGGATATGAAATATGTTGTTTTCCAATGTTCAAATTCAAATTCTTGGCGAATTTGGTTATTACGGGGATTAATTAAGGAAAATTAAACATATGGTCCTGATCATTACATTGGACATGGTTCAGAACAACAAAATGTGTGCAATGATCGCCTACCACACGCAAACTATTGTGCCATAGGCAGCATGAGCAATGGCAAACGAACACACTCCTTTTCCACCTTAACAAACAAACCGTGTGTGATATATGCCACCAACGCACACATTTCCTCATAATTTTTTTTTCGAGAAAACTTTCGATCTATTCATCAATTATCAAGCTAGTACAAATAACACTAGAAGTAAAATTTACATCTAGGTCCGTAGACCACCTAGCGACGACTACAAGCACTGGAGCGAGCCGAAGGCGCGCCGTCGCCATCGCCCCTCTCTCATCGGAGCCGGGCAAACATTGTTGTAGTAGACAGTCGGGAAGTCGTCGTGTTAAGGCCCTATAGGACCAGCGAAGCAGAACAACAACCGCCGCCGATAAATAGAAGCGTAGATCGAAAGGATCCAACTTGCATACACATAGACGTAGAACGAAGACTAGATCCAGACGGATCCACCGAAGTCAAACGCCGACTGGATCCCACGAGATCCGCTGGAGACACACCTTCACACGCCCTCTGGCAATGCTTGAAGCACCACCAGGACGAAGGCTAGGCGGGGAGAATCTTATTCCATCTTCAAGAAACCGCCGCCACATCATTTTCTTGATCATGGCAAAAGCCCTAACAAAACTCAGAAAAACACCTAAAAACGGAGCCCTCCCGCCGGCAAAGACCAGAATCCATAACACCTTCATGGTTCAAGTATCATATGAGATGAGACGGATCGACGGCGGCTACGGCAAGAAGCAGGAAAACCTAGATGGGAGTCGCACGGGCATGGGCGAAGACATTTCCTCGTAATCAACTGTGTGCCATTGATCCCTGCCTCAAACATGAATGTGCCTTTCGCATCGTGTGATATGGGAACCAACAAACACCCATTTGTTTCGTTGTCACTAATTATGTGGGATGGATCTCCTGTCACACACGTTTAATCGGCGCCAGTTGTGTGCGATGGTATCCCTTTGCGCACACCGTACCCTTCTTTTCAAAGAGACTGTGCGCGGCAGACCACACCATCATACATGTTAGACTGTATTTACATGTGTATATTGTAACGTTGTATACCACCTCATTATATATATGTGTGATAGGCCACCCCTAGAGGGTTGTGCCGGTTCCCCCGAAGCCTATTGTCTTACATGGTATCACGCTAGGTTACGTCCGCTTCCGCCTAAAAACCCTAAACCGCCGCCGCCGCCGCCGCCGCCACCGCCGCCGCCGCCGCGCCCGCCGTCGCCGTCGCCCGACTGCTATGACGTCCGCCGCTGCGTCCGGCTCCACCGCCACCGGTTTTCTGCCGGCCTCCCTCGCGACACTTCTCTCGAGGCCGCTGGATGCCGCCTCCCTTCAGGCGCCGATCGGGACACGGAGCGTCGGCTCCCTCTTCGCGCTCCCGCCGGCTGCTACTTCGCCCGGGCAGGCGCTTGTGGCCCGCACCGCCGCCGCCCCGTCAACCGCGGCTGTCGCGCCCTCGGCCACTGCGCCGCTGGTGGCGGAGGACGTCGCGCTGGCAGGCTTCGCGGCGTCAACCGCGGCCATCGCGCCCTCTGTCATCGCGCCGGCTGCCCCTCTGACTGTCTTCACGGTGGTCTCACCTCAGCCAGTCTCCTCGATGGGATCGCAGCCGCCGCCGCCGTTTCACTTCGGCCATCTCATCACCATCAAGTTGTCGTCGGACAATTAC